CTTAAAATTTAAAATTAAGTGCTACTACTATAAGTTTATAATAATTTCCTAGTATACTATAAACACCGGAAACCTATTATTATATAAACGCGGGTTTAAATTTATAATTAGACTTCTATAGGGCTATTAGATAAAGGTAATAAGTAAAATAAGCGCAGATACTAAGAATTGCTTAACCTTTAATTTTATAAGGATATAGAAAGTGGTAATAGATTACTATAATGCCTATAAAGATGCTAAGTATATAGAAAAAGTAGATAAAAGTAGTATTTATTAGCTTATATTATCCTTTTAGGATTAAAATTAGTAGTAGCCTGCAGTTTAGGCGCTATAGGGCGCTAGTTATACTACTCTATAGGCCCCTTAGCAGCCTTTTAAGTAAGTATTAACAGCTCTAGTGCCGCTTATCTATTAACCGGCTCCTCTAGCTAATTTAAGTATAGATATTTTTATAGAGCAGCTTTAAAAACTAAAGTTAAATACTATAGAACTAATAGACTATATCTATTACTTCCCGGCCTTTTAGCAGGTATTCTAGAACCCGGCAGATATTATTTAAGCTATAAGCGCAGCTGCTATCTAGCCTGCTCTATTAAGGCCGCCTCTAGTATTATACTAACCTATACTAATATTCTATACTACTTAGGTATATTAGCTATATAATAGGTTTAGAGGCAGAGTAGTAGTATAAAGTTTTTTTATACTAGAATACTATAGATATAGTAAGCTAGGCTATATTTAAGGCTACTATCTATAAATAGAAAAGCTTATAGGGTTTAGCCTAGTATATTAGAATAGCTGTTATTTTTTTCCTAGAAAAAAAGGGTAGCTACTTAGAGACTTTAGTCTAATACCTATATATAACTGCGTATAGTATATAAAGGATATAATTATTAGGTAGAATAGGAACCTAGAAAAACCGGCCCTCTTTTAGGCACCTTTAAATAGTTATATTATAGCTATAGTAGTAGCTTTCTAGAAGCCTAACAGTAATAATAGAAAGGAAAAAGAAGTTAGTAAAAGCTAGGAGAATAAATTTAGTATTAAGAACCTTTTTATTAACTATAGTATTAGTGCTGTAGGAATAACTACTAAATAAAAGGAAACCTATCTAAAAGTAATAATAAGAACCTTAAGGCTGGGCGATTATATAATACTTAACTAGGCGATTTAGGATTAGAATAAAGATTATTCGCAAATACTAGGCTAAGATAGTAGCTAGCCTTAGCCTAATATATATACAGGTGCCGGGGCTTAATTACAGCTTTTAAGAATAAAGCCGGTTCGGGTAATAGATATAAGGGTTTCGATGCGCGTTGGCAGGCCTGAGGCCGGATGCGAACCTTAACGAGTTAAGAATCCGTTGGCGAGCAAGCTACGTACAACGGGCAGAAGATATACTCCTGCCAAGCCCGCTAAATAGGGGCTAGAAACGAGGGTAAAGCCCGAGTCGTGCAACAGGGGTTTATCCCCTAACAATAGATATGCTAAAGGAAACAGCTACGCCGGTGGCTAGCTTAGTTAAATAAATAATATCCGCTATAGTTAAGTTATCTATTAGTAATTGCTTTATTTATATAGGGGGCTACTAATCGCACACCCCCTTTTCACTAATCGCACACCCCCTTCTCACTAATCGCACACCCCCTCCCCCCCTGTCGCTTCACCACCTTATAATTGGCTCGGATTAACGCGGAGCTTCCTCCGGGCATTCACCTATACGTCTATCTACACGTGATGCTATACGCAAGGCCGTACGGCCTTACGTACGGCTATATATATGGCTACACGAATCGGAAAGGATGTATGCCGATTTGTATAGCCTTATGTACAAGCCTAAGTCTAAGTATAGAATAGAAGTTCTATTCTAGAAGTGCCTATGTGCCTACAAGCATGCTAAACCTGTTAAAACCTTACCTTATTACGGCTCCTTTGCATCGAGCCTGGCCCCCCTACATTACCACCTACACCTACTCTATATACTGATCCATATACTCCTTAGCCTCCTCCTTATAGTTATACTCTGCAGGCGCCACAACGTTCCTACGGCTTGGCGGCCGGCTTGATAACTCAGCAGTGCCCCCCTCGACACCTGCTGGACGCTGAGACCCTTCTAGACGTGCTTGTAGAGCTGCAATCTGTCGTAGGATGTCTGCACGGTCATCCTCTTGTTCCACCTGAGGTTGAGGCT